TTATGTTCTTTTTATTTTTTTTTAAGCTTTTCCTAGATGTCAGTTAAGTTCTTTGATTGTTTTGTTTCATAACGGTACCCTTTCTGTGACTGAACCACAATAAAGTAAAGTAGGACCCTTTAATGAACAGTAATGACCGAGTGTGAATGCTAGTGTAGCGGCCACGTGGCAGCGCTTTCTTCCATTGATCAAGGCTTATGTTAGGCTTAGCGAGCAGACGGCCAAACTCACTCTGGTTACTATTTCAGAGCAAACAGTTTCTAGGGGACTCTGAGCGTCTGAGCGCTTGAAATCGCGGCGCCGGCAGGATCAAAATGGGCACGGCCATCTGCGTTACTGTCATCAGATGTGCCTTATGCATCGTTGCGGCTTTGAGCGGGCAAATCAGCTTCTTTGCCATTAAACCTTCCACGAAGGCGAAGACGGACGACTCATAATATACGACATTTTTCACAATGCATGGAAAGGAAAGAAAACCAAACATAGAAAGGGTAACAGTAACATCAAGGCTATGTTTTTTAGTTTTGTCGTGAATATGGATCACGACTTGTCGCTGCCTCCGGTTGGGACGGCACCGTTCACATCTATAGTCTTGGTAATAACGGACACTCAGAGGAGAGACGGTATTATTACCATGGAAAACCTGTACTTGCGTTCACCTTTACGGTTTGTCACTCCTTCATACATTTACTTGGCAAAAATCAGTCACATATTCCTATAATAATTTGCAGGGTGGAAATAGAATAGCGAGTGGTGGTCTCGATCAAGTTTTCAAGTTAGTTGATATCGAAACTGGACGAGGTTCGTTTTTCTAGGAGATTCCTAAGATGCAGTTAATTGGAAGCAGAAGACACGATGATTTGGCTTGTCAGAAATAGTTGTAGTGATGCTATATAATAGGAAAATGGCGAAAAAAAGCGAAGACAGAACGCAAAAAACCTGCGAAAAACCTTTGTGCTGCACAGCGTTTGACGAACATCTTTGGAAGAGTTTCCCGCTGGCATCGTGCCAACAAGCTGTGGTAGTTGCAAGTGCACGCAAGTCATATATTGTACAGCAGTGCTTCGTAACAAATAGTACACCATAAATGAAGCGATAAGAGCTCCAGCGTCAATGTGACTGTGGTGTCGTTTGTGGGCCGGCGGTTGCGGTGGGCGTCCGAGTCGGCGTGTTGCATCTTGAGGCTACAAGAGCATCTTTGTTGGAGAAGGTACCTTGCAGGCCTGCTCAAGAGCACTGAATCTGTCCTACAGGGCGTAGTCATCCTCCATTTGTGGATGGATTTATGGTGTACTTACCTTAAAGCTGTCTTTTGCAGAGTTGAATATGGGAGCTCATTCAAACGGCATACGCTGTATGGAGTACAATCCGAACAGTGGTGTTGTGGCATCTGGAAGTTGGGATTCAACTGTGAAGGTTTGTAGCAAAGCTTTGATCCACATTATATTTCTTTTCGTAATTATTTGAATATTGGAGTGTTGTGCACAAGAGTTTTAGATTTCGCTTGAGGAGCGTTTTGAAACAGCGAGAATGACACGAAGGATAATCTAGCCAGAGGGGCCTCAAATTCCGAATTATTATGCTGCTGATTACATTCATACTTCCATTCCATAAGTAGAAGCGCATTTTACGTCAGATGTAGGAAACTTTTCAGTTGTGGGATGCTCGAGCGACGACAGTCGCTGGACCGATGCAGAGCGTAGGCACTGGGGATCGAGTATATGCCTTAGATGTTCTCGGAGACAAGATAGTTGTGGGCACTCGCGACAGGTTGGCCTCATTTTCTAGAGTAACTTCGGCACTATTCAACTATTACTACCCCAGTTTTGCGAAAACAGGCCGGATCTTGATCGACTTTTTTCCACGGGGGTGGATTTGGCTGAAAGTTGGGTTCTAGGGGTAATTCGACCTCCTGAACACGAATATCACATCCACTTGGCCTGAAAGTGCCTGGCGCCCGCGCCACAGGCGCCAGTGATTTGGGGCATTTTGGCGCGGCGCCGAGCGGTTTCAGGCCGAGCGGATGTGATATTCGTGTTCAGGAGGTCGAACTACTGCTGGGTATGGTGATCTAGGGTACTTTGGCGCGGGCGCCAGGCAGTTTCGGGAGGAGCGGATGTGATATTCGTGTTCAGGAGGTCGAATTACCCCTAGAACCCAACTTTCAGCCAAATCTGCCCCCGTAGAAAAAAGTCGATCAAGATCCGGCCCGTTTTCGGAAAACTGGGGTAGTAATAGTTGAACAGTGCCGGAACTTCTTGTAACTGTAATTTCAATTTTGACGCTATCCTTGTTAAGCAGTGACGTTGACTTTGTAGATAACAGTAATCTGATGCACTTTCAGGAAGATCCACTTGCTCGACATGCGAAATTTGAGCGTTCCGGAACAAGTGCGAGACAGTCCCCTAAAAGTGAGTGCGTTGCTATAGGGCAAAATCATGGTTTCTCAGTTTATATTCCAAAGTGCTTTTCGAGTTTTTATGAAAAATGGGACAGGAAACCTTCACATAGTTCCTGTGCTCCTGCTCACCGAATACTTTGTTCTCATGTCTTGTTTTCTGTACACTGCGCTACGCCTAGATCG